TCTATACAACACTGGTCGCTATCTTATGAACCTGGCCCGTTCAAACCTCTATATTAATGTCAAATTTAGATTTAAAATCTCAATAATTTGTGGTGAATGCAATGTAGATAATTCAGTTATAGGTAGTGAGAATTATTGAGAAAGCTAATAAGAAAGTTGGGGAAGCTAAACCATGTCAGAGGAGCCGAGGCAGAAACATTTATTGGGCATTCCAAATGCAAATCTTGTACAACAGCTCTTGTGCAGAACAACAAACCTTGGCCTCTCACTTTTAACTGTTTCACCAGTTTCTTTTCCATGTGGCCAATTCTAATTAGACAGCACAGACTTGTGGCATGTAGTACACAGGAGGCAGCACTGTGCATGTGACGTCAGTGCAATCGATTTCCTACAGGAATGAGTGGCGCGGTGGGGGCAGGCGACCCCTGAGCCCGGGGAGCTGCGGCCCAGCAATGCGGGTTGCTGTCCTCGACATGTAGGGGAAATACACAGCGAACCCTGGCTAGACAAAATTTGAAGACTACAGAAAGGACCCTTAGTACCCCCCCTCCCTGCCTCAAGAGATCCACCGAGTCTACTGCTAACAGCGGAAGTACATCTATCTTTTGAAATCGAGGACTGTTTCCTAGTCAAGAATAAATGTAGAAGACTGAAAATTCGACAGAAATTTACTTAAAACACTTTAACATTTGAGATACTGAATATTTTATCTGTTAGTCAACCAGTTTTTGTTAAGGTCTTTCTAGAGGAATGAGGATTTATTTATTGGAAAAAAATATTACAATTTAGTGATCATAATAACAGCCTGAACCAGAAAATTTGATTTAACAAAAAAAAAAAAATATATATATCTGAGTTTAGGTTTTACTGAGGTTTATTTTAATCCCAAAGTAGGCCTACATCAATAATTTCGAAATGTAGGGCTCAAATTCCAATCGGCTTCCCTTTGTTTCACTGTACGCTCTACAGGTCCTTCGTGACATTTCAGTGAAGTGAGGGAATTTGTTAATTCATTTCCATGTTATATATTACTCATTAAAACGAAAGGATACGTTCTAAGAAAATATTCCAACAAATACATATAATTTGATGTATTTGACCTCCGAAACTTCAGATATCATCGAGTAATATAAAACGTTTATCACATCCAAAAGCTGGAAAGAAGTGTTTGTGTTCTTTGCCACCTTCAAGCAGGCAGTTCAACTAAATAACATATAAAATTCATATTTCTGTCTACTGGGTTGTTGCGCTGTGTAGTTTGGTCGATGTTAACCAAAATTTCAGAGGTCATACTGCCTCCGTCATCAGGGCGATGAATAATTCATAATAATATTCATCGCCCTGATGACGGAGGCAGTATGACCTCTGAAACGTTGGTAAACATCAACCAGACTACACAGCGCAACAACCCAGAAGACAGAAATCTTCATACTCAACGCCCTGATGACGGAGGCAGTATGACCTCCGAAACTTTGGTAAACATCAACCAGACTACACAGCGCAACAACCCAGAAGACAGAAATCTTCATTTTCACCGCCGTGAAAACCTCAAATCTTACGTAAAATTCGGCTCCTACCTACCAACGCGTCTCCATTATAGTGATGAACCGGTTAATGCTGTTTAGGTTCATAATCATCGTTTAATCTGAGGATTATACGGAACTCATAAGTACATTCTGCGGGCAGAATTCAGAGTTAAAGATAAAATATTAAATATTCAGAGCTATACCAACACTTTAAGTAAATTTCTTCTTCCTCGGCCCTAGAAGTTTTGTCTAGGAATTCCTATTTTCCAGTTACATATTAACTTATATGTACGTACAATTATATAACCAAAACACAGAATTATTTTCAAACACGACATAAAAATCAAGACTGAGAATTTTATTACCACAAAATTAATGCGTCTTTAATACTTCGTTATTTAATTATCAACAGAACTTCTGTTAAGATGCAATGAGTAACTTAAAGAAGTGGAAGAACACAGGCTCTAGTCCAACTACAAACACCGTTAAGGGCCAAAAACATTTTATCAAAAGCAATTACTTATTTGTAAATGAGTATTAATAAAAGTAGGCGCGACTGAAAAAGTGAGCATGGCGACTGCGATAAGCTGAAGCTACACTGAAGTTTCGTTTCTTTCATATGATTCTGAACAAACAAACAAACAAACAAACAAACAGAAATAACAAAACCGTCATTGTGGCTTTTCTCTGTTTACATGTGACAAAGTTAATGAGGATAAAACGTTCTAATCTTCGAAAGAGATGCAAATTTTGGAAACACAAAGGACATTTGTTTTCTGACCAAATGCAACTGATCCCAATATTTTTACACAATAAATTTAATTAAGAGTGAAAAAACGTCATAGTTAATGCCGATGCTACTGCTTACTTAAATTAAAAAAAATAGAACAGTATTGTGGCCAAACTAAATGAACGAAATAATGAATAGATTTATTTTCATATATTGGCCTCAGTGACAAACGGTCGAACGGATGAAAGCAAGCAGCCATTTTTATATCTCGAATGGAAAAGCATAAAAAATATTACTCAGCCAGAATTGAGTGCGTAAACAGAGCCAAACAAATAACTCTCTAGGAAAAAAGATGTTGAAACTGACGTTGAAAGATGAAAACATATGACTGCATCGTACTAAAATACGCTGGCAACAAAATCCGCTTGTATCTTTTTATAACACTTGCAGAACCCCATTACATACCTCAAATAAAAAAAAGTAAAAACTTTATATTAACTGCGGTTAATAAAATAAACAGTTATAATTGTTAAAATGGGACATAACTACAAATTCACCCTGTGCTCGAAACATCGGGTTGTACAACAGCTGTACTCGTTATGCAGCGATGAATAAAATACATCTATTATTATTTACTGCAATTAGAAAGCACACAGTAGGGTAGATGCTGTGGCCTATTACAACGCAAAAAACCCTGCAGGACTGTAAGTCAGTCAAGGAAATTAATCTTTGAATGACAGACAAATTATAAAAGGTAACTGAGCGTCAAACAGAATATAAGAGAAAACGAATTTACGTTTTTCTGGCAGACATAAACGACGGACGTTGATAACTGATTCGCAATATTCATCGCTAAAAGTGGCCCGTTTCTTGGGAAATCAGAATAGACGAACCCGGCATCCCCAGACCACATTCATTTTCTAAAATATCATCCCAATAACCCCTTTTTATCCTCTCATCTGTAACTCCAAAGAGGAGGAGACTGATTCCTAAGTTTCTTATATAATCACGTGGTAGTCATCTCGCATTGAATGCAATGCGAGGTGACTAAATGTTAAGTAGGTAAGACGATGGAAAGAGACGGTCATGGAACATGGCGAAGTACTCTGCCGGCACTCACAGGAGATACTAAAGAGAATGTCGAAAACATCAAACAGGAGATCCTACATAACGACAGAAATTAGAAAGTGACGATTAAAAATATAATGATTTTACCGCTTTTGTAGCATGTTGGGTGCAAGAAAGGCAGTGTAATTACAATCAATATCAAAAACACAATTAATACCCTAAGGATGTAACGTTTTGGTGAATATACATTAAAGAAAGAGTTAAACAATTTTTCCAACAACCTCAATAATCTAGCGAAAGAAAGTTTAGGAACCAGAGATTTAGAAAGAAAACATCCATCGATATTCCGTTTGAAGAAGTGTACTTTATGAGAGACGCGGAATTTTTCATTTACTCTCCGATGTCAGTTGTCACTGGCAACTTGCAGCCACAGAAATTTGTGATCGCAAAGGCGGGAGGAGCCTCTTGTGTGACTCTCAGACCCTCTGCAGCAACCCCCATGTTCTATTTACGCATGCTCAATACGTTTGCGTGAAACACTCAAGAGCAATTGAGGTTAACACACTACTATGTAGTGCCTGTGGCTCGTTCCGACCCCTCTCTGTACAACTCTGTCTCTCTCCTCTAGTTCTCTGTTTTTGGTGCCTCCCTTAAACATCAATTTTCGTTTATGTATGACTAAAATCATTATTGGGAAAACAGAACTATTAAGCACACAATTTTACAACTGTAAAATTATGTCTCTACTCCAGAAATTTTTAGGTATCTCTGACTTGTTATATTCCCTAAAATATAATTTTATTTATATCTTATCAATATCTCGAATACGATAGGCAGATGAGTCGGCAATTGTAATAAAAATCTGTGCCTAAGTCCGTATTTATTTAAGCTCTTTATGCTTCGTTATGTTCGGTCTACTTGACTGGACTGAGCATAGCACTTGGAAACATTTTGGCGAAGGAACTTACAGTTATTCAATTTGAGACTTGAAGTACGCGATCCGGAAGACCACGAATTACATCTGAGCAAGTCCATGTCTACTTCACAGCCATTCATTTCTTTGTGCCACTTGAATTTAGTTTTACGTGTAAACAAGGCCTTTTTACGACACTGGGGGACTTGTAGATTGCATATAGCATCGAATAAGGTGCGTAAATTGTCATGAATATCTGGAAGGAGATGGTAATAGCATATGAATGTAGGGTCTGGGAAATTTTCGGACCAGTCAGCTTACCGACCGTGAATCTGACCAGGGTTGTCTCAAATCTGAAGCTGGAGTAATAACCACTACTTCACAAAGCTTCATTTATGAATTTACAAGGAAAATAAAGGGGTCAAATTAGAAAATAAATGCTCTAAAGACCAATAAATATCACGATTTCTCTGGCTTAAAGACGACCGCGGCGTAAAACCAGCCGTTAACTGGAATATGATGCCAAGTTTGAGAATAAGTAAAGTAATTAGAACCAACTGTTTTAATATACAGCAGGTCAAACATATCTGCAATATTAATTTTCGTGGAGCGACGTTAAAGTGTGATTTGAGAAAGGTTGACGGGGATTATAGATACTGTATCGGTATTCGCTCGTCAGAACTGTAGTAAACTACGAAATATCTGTCATCCATTAGCACTGTATGATTTAACCCAAGAACGTGACAAACACTTGTGTACTCACGGTGGATGTTGAGCTTCCAACCGTCTTCCAGAGTGGTGTCATCAATAAGGGGTGTAGTAGCTCTGCACGTCAGGATCTTCCCGCTGTCCTCCATGGTCGGCACAAACGTCACTGTACTCGTGGTAGTGTTACCGTCAGGACTCGTCTGCAACAGAAGAGATCAGTAATGGGATGGGAGGACTTAAATACCACCAAACACTTCTTTGCTACGATGAAGAAGAATCTTCTGTAAAACATAAATATGCCTACTTTTTTCCTAGATTTTCAGTGCTGGAGTTCAGAGTACAACTTCGGCTTTAGCGTGAGAGCCTGTTATACGCCTACTTTCCTTCTAATGCGTCAGACTATAAAACATACATACGACAAATACATAATTCACAAATCCATTTCTGTGCGTATTCTGGACTGGTACAATTTCGTATGCGTCTCAGGCGTCATACATAACCCATTCCAAGACTTGGCGTTTTCTGGGGAATTTTTTTTAACAGATTTTCTAAGGTTTATTTTTAAAAGACCTACACAGAATACAACGCAGAAGGAGCGGACACACATCCATGCGTCGAGTGGGATTAGAATCCGCTGGGATTAGCGTTCAAGCGGTCAAAATCGTGAACGCCTAGATCACGCGGCTTCTCTCATGGGACTAGTACACATCCCCACTTCGTTACATCTGTACGATGTAACTTCAAACATTTCGCTCCGTCCCATGTTTGTAATTTAATTATTAACATGTGATAAATATGTCATACAGAATATGTTCAGTGCACAACATTTCATTTGCCTATCTCCATGGTCCATTAGTTATCGTTATCAAACCGAAAGAATTCTTGCTGCCACCATGTTGATGTCACAGAGTGTACTGTCGAATGATGAAGCACGAGAGAATTATAAATGACGTATTGGTAAGAACGTAAAAGGTAACAGTCTTCACATATTTCAGTAAACACTAACCTCATTTCATAGAGGGACTAGCTATAATTAGAACAGCTCATGAGGCCAAGATTTCAACACGGGAGAGACCTCTTGAATGAGAAAAGGATATGTTAATCAAAATGATGTAACGTCCTATTGTTCAAATTTGAGCAAGAAATCTGAAATCTGGCAGTAAGATAAAATGTGTAGAGATATTAGGAATGAAAGTTGGGCAAAGAAGCCGATTATGGGCTTCTGGGTTGTGATGACGTGTAGTCTTGTATGCGGTTAGGTGGTTGTGGTTATCTACCTACAAGACTACACGGCATTGCACCAGAAGACCACAATCGACTTTACCACCGTCGTCAGAACCTTAAATCTCTGCTTCGTAAAGAAGTTTTTAAAGGAAAGATTACGGACGGACGTAACGATAGACACGTAAGATAGCGAGACTTCAACTATGGACACTGCAATCCACTCTTCAGTTAGGACTTCCGCTTGGCATTGGGAATTATATGGTTCGAATCTCGACTCAAAGATTGAAGTAAATCCTATAACATTGTCACAATTTATCCAATGTCAATGTTTTAGCTTCTTGTAGTACTTTTACTATCGCGAAATAAATCGAGGTGCTTGGATCCTATAAATCCATTCACAACGTTAAACAGAGAAAATATTTCTATTGACATCGTTAATTACTCCCTGATTATTCAAGTGGTCAGCTAATTACATGACTGGCAAGATTATAATGGTTACAGATACGTTTGAACAAAACAATATAAAAACGTATTAAAATTTCATCTGAATAATAAAATAAAATAAATTAAAAATAAATAAACAAGCATTATTATGATTCTAAAGACCTATATGTAATTCGAAGAGATAAACCCCTAATCATTAACCAGTTGTAATCAAACTCAATAGAAATGCTCGCAGAAGCCAAGATACAATGAAGTCATTAACAGTTAAATCTGTCAGGTTATAAACGTTTAATTACAAATTTCGCATAAAAGCTGCTAACACTTGAAACAAAGGCCGAGCACAGAAATTAATCAAGTCGATCCAGAATAGGCCTATATGAAAACTTCAAAGTACAACTGAACTGTATAATACAGATGTAGACAGTAAAAACATATTTTAGTCTATTTTACATACAGGCATACCAGTCGAATGTAAGCAACATTCTTGCTGTAATTCACTTCATGAACACATTTTTCATTAAAGCTTTCAGGTGAGAGGAAACGTCCCAAAGATTAAAAATGAATGAACTGGCGATAGCGGTGAGCTGGCCTAGACATCAGAACTGCGCGCTGTATTGGACGCGAAACAGAAACGTATGATGTTGAATGTCATGTTGTAGAATGTGGATGAGATTCAACTTAACATTACCTTTCCACAATAATAAGACTGTAAAAAAACTGAGGCATACACCAACCATCGACAAAAATTAAAATATGTCTGTCTTCTGGGTTGTTGTAGCATTGTAGTTTGGTTTAATAACGTTTCAGAGGTACTCGCTACCTCCATCTTCGACGATCGCAACATCTTAGAAGACAGCCATCTTCATAATCGCTGCCGTGAGAACATGAAATCTCACAAGACTCAGACAGACCTAAAGACAGAAATGGAAAACAAGACAGAATATAGTATGATGAAAAGACTGAATAAATTAAAAAGGGACGACACAAACGAAAAGAGGAAACAAATAACGAAATAAAAAGGAAGCAGAGTGTAACATAAATATGAGTAATAAGAAGCAATTGGACAGAACAGAGACATGCATTAATTGTAAATGAAATACAAGGAAAGTATGAATTGAAGTGAAAGAAATTTAAGCGATGCAAATGAACATTAAAGACGGTAAAATGCGAAGGCGAGGAGAAAGATAAAATAGGAAAAAGTAAAATATAAGGGAAAAAGGACGGAGAAAAAAAGAAAAGAAAAAAAAAGTCATTCGTCCCTCATTATACTGTGTTTCACCAATTTCACCGATAGCCTCAAAGAAGAGAGTGGATGAATGGAGCCTTACTTGACAGGCCATACTATATTCAGTAAGGCCAGACACTTTATAACCTAAACCTGCCACCAGTAATCAATCGCCAGTGGCGAAGCAAATGGAATTCACTAAACCCCTTCTACCACTGTACCTTGAGGATCAATACATCAAGGTAGCGTTCATGCTGTCATGTGTCTGTCAGAAGTTATCTGAGCGGTAGTAGCAGGGGAATCGTAGCAAATACAGGAGTCAGGGCCACTACCTTGAGGGTTTCGAAGTGATTGCCTTTTAATGTAAGGGCAGAAGGTACTGCAGTCAGCATAGCATCTACGCCTCTCTCACTGCCTGTCTGTCTGTCTGTCTGTCTGTCTGTCTGTCCTGCTGGCACTGACGTATGGACCTCGAGGTCTTGAGTGATGAAGGAAGTGGCTCGGTGAAAATCCAGTAACTTTCAGATTCACTTCTTCATACGACCGTATTTTGGATTTACAGGAATGGAGGACCCGTGTTTCAACTGATGGTCTGCACAAGATCATGTTTTCTTTCGGATCAACAACCACAATTAGTGGATTTTATATGTTTCATAGACGAAATGCTTAAGTGAACGTGTAACAGGGACATGTTGCCTGTTATTCAGAAAATTTCATCTCCGAATCTATGAATGCGATTTCGATTAAGTTTTGTTTCGGATATCTATTCATGATAAGTTGCGAATAATTTTAGATATGGCATATTTTAGTGCATTATTAACACTTACATTGCATGCACTTCAGTACAAATTTCACAAATACTCTAAAACGAATTCTTCTTCTCTAATTAACGGATTAGGCCGATGGCCTGTTCCGACTTCTATGAAATCCACCTTCTGCGTGGTCTTCCAGAATCTCTTCTTCCTTTGGGTCTACACAAAGGGTCTGTTTCTGCATTCGTCCTTCTTCGATCATTTCCACATGTTCTAGCCAATCTTGCCTGTGTCTTCTTATTCTGTCATTAATTGAAAACACTCCAAACTCTTTTCTTATGCCTTCATTTCTGATATTGTCCAGTCTTGTACATCCCTTTACAGATCTTAAAAATTTCATCTTCGCTGTTTATAATTTTTGTATGTCTCTTCTACTCATTGTCTAACATTCACTTCCATATAGTAGTGCAGAAACAGCCATCACGTGATAAAAGTTTATTTGTGTATCTTTTCGAGTTTTCCCTTTAAACGTTCCCCTAATAGTGTCACGCATTTGGGAATAGTTTTGATATAACTGCGTGCAATATCATAAAACAAACATTTCTAGGTATGATCATACCATTCCGAAACAAATATGAATTAACTTCAACACACAAATAATATATCAGAATACAGAGGTAGACAATCAGATTTTGAAAATACATGAACAGCCAGAGACCATACTGATGGTTCCATTGTCGAGCACACATACCGCACATCCATTCTGCTCATTTCATAACATATTTCTGACATAATTATACCCAGAGTTTGTGTTGTGCTTATCGGAATCTACACATCCATCCCAGACTGTTAGATTATTTATGGCAGAGTTTCATAAAAAACAATTGCTGAATGGTACATGATTTCGGCTCACATCACTTTCTGTTCTAGTGTATGCTAGTTTTACACAGCTTTCTATTTGTTAGATAATATTGGCACGTGTATTTAAATTGTGTCCTTCTGTTGGCATGTGAGGCAAAACCCTTTGACTCTTTTTGAATTCCGATTGCCAGCTATCTGATCCACCAAGAGTTCAATTCATTTACAACCGCTCAGTAGGGTGGGTGATCACTATGGCCACGGCAGGTCTACCACCTGAACCATAACCTCAAACCTCACTCTGTTGCGTGGGAAACGACAGCCAGGATTCTACCGCATAGTTTTATGGTTCAATTACATCAATTCCTGATCTCACCGAAACTGCCCTAACTGGTTCAGGAGAGAATGAAGAGTTTTCACGGACAATGGTCCAGTTCGTTTGTTTATCTGTCATCTCCCTCTGCATCCCTCAACATTTTTCGTTGCATTGTCATCAAACAGTAATTAGCTGTACCGAAAGTCCACCACCTCACTGACACATAATAACACACCGCGTTTAATTCTATTATTTCTGCATCTAGAAATACAACTCCATTAAACAATAATATGTGAATAATCAAGTAAGCGTGAAATTAAGAATCTTCTATCGTTCTACAATGACCACATTTTTACAAAAAGCTAACTCCCGTCATAATTT